AGTCCATGTGACATCAGTGGTTCAACCATAATTTTATGAAACTACAAGAATACTTTTTGTGCGCAAAGAAAATAAAAATAACGACTTCATAACGAATTCAACAATTTATTCTGTTCCGTGTCAGTCCTCGACGTGTGTCCACGAGAGTACCACAATACATGTGCACAAAAAGTATTCTTGTATAGCTTCGCAAAATGACAGTTGAACCACTCACATGGACTATTTTAACAATGTCCTGCATGGGCCTTAAACGTGTCAGTTTCCTTGCTGTCTATGCAGGGTCAGAAAGCTCATGGATTTAATTCAAGATATCTTAATTTATGTTCCGAAGATGAACGAAGGTCTTACGAGTTCGATGAATAATTAATGACAGAATTTTAATTTTTGGGTGAAGTAACCCTTTAACCCTTCTATTTTTATCTTTTCTATTTACACGTTACCCTTGGGTCAAATTATACATAGTCATGACATTGCTTTCCACTGCTACGCAGATAATACACAATTGTACATTACAATTGAAATTAAGGGTCTGTAATTTTAATGGTAGGTTTATTTTAACGTATAGAGACAGAATACCAACCAAAAAATCCAGAACAAACACATTATATAAAGGTTAGAAATTGATTTGCATTTCAGTGAGTGAAATAAGTATTTGATCTTCAAGCAAAACATGACTTAGGGGGGCTTAATCTTAGCACTCATCATACCCGGTTAAAAAAGTCACCGCTCACCACTGCTTTGTAGTATCACCATTCTACCACTAGATTCTCTGCGTAAGCATGCTCAGAGTTGTGCTCATATTTACACACATTCCTACGTATAAGTACCTGTACAAATTTGTAGATCTCACACTTTGCGTGAACCTGTTCTTACGCACTCATTACGCAGACATCTGTGCATACGCACTGTTGATAAATGAGGGCCCAGGTGACTAAAGTGGTGCAGTCTTGCTTTACACTGACGCAACTAACAAAGATTAAGTAATTTCTTTCTTTTGCTCATTTAGAAAAGGGCATTCATGCTTTTATCTCCTCCAGATTTGACTACTGTAAAGCACTTTATTCTGGTATCAGCAGGTGAAACATTCAAAGACTTCAG